AAAATGAAGACCCCTGCCCCCTCCTTCTACAACAGTGGCTAAACCTGACCATACACTAGTAGACTTTTGAAAAAACATTCTTACAAAATTCTCAGTATATATGAAGACATGGTGAATGTTGTTTAAAAATACTTTAAAAGCTTGTTTTGCTTTTCAGATGGGGATAGAAGAGGGAAGGGTTAAAACCTCTGCCAGTTTTTTTCTAATTTTGTGAACTTTTATGGAAAATTTCCTTTACTTTCTGCCCTGGAGATGCAAAAGAAAGATAGAAGTTGTGCCCAGAACAGGTGTCCCTATTGGAGAATTTCCTGTCAACTCTTATTCTGAGGGCAGTTCTGAAATGTTGCATTTCCTCTCACTTTTTTTCTTACTGCCAGTGGTTACCAGTATAAATAGAGGGGTGAATCTCTCCAATGGGGACACAGACAGCAATAAAATAGTGAAGCGCTCCCAAATTATCTAAAAAATTATTCAATAAGTGAAGAATTACATAAACACTTCTAATAAATACCCATATACTATTAACTCAAAATAGATCTGTGATAAAAATACCAAAATATACAATTCATAATATATACCCAAATAACAGTGATAAAACCAATTGACATAATACTGCTGATTCATAAAAATGTGACAAATCGTGATACTTGTGACACAACTGAATATCAAAAAAGAAATATAGTGATACTGCGATAAGTAAATACATATGTCTGTGGTGAACCCTATAACAAAATTAGAAAAAATTGCTTCTTAGATCAAAAAAAAAAAAAAAAAAAAAAAAAAAAAAAAAAAAAAAAATTTTTAAATAAATAAATAAACTCTGTGTTTCAAAAAAAAACTCAAATAATCCATGCAAAAAAATGTGAAACACTCTGTGATCTTCACTTCTAGTGCTCAAGAAAGGAATCCTCCAACGGCAGAAATGCCTGCTCACCTCCCCTCCTCGACCCACACAGGGCCAAAAGGCAAAAAGGCTCTCCTTAAAGGCAATCCTTTCCTCCAGGCAACTCAGGCAGGAACCTCAGGACTTCCACTCCACCTCCTCTCACCACGTCATATAGGGCACAAACAGAAACTTCCCATAGTATAACACCATTTATTGTAAATAATATGGCATAACAAACTTTCCAACTCACATGGTAACTTTGGATACAGCGCTTTTTCACCTCACATCATGGGTGTATTCTCATGCAGGGAGGGAAACCAATATGGCCGCTGCGTCCGGACAAAAACGTCCCCACGTGAACGGAAGTGACGTAATATCGTGCTGGGAATGGCGTTCCGACGCATTGCGTCACGTGCGTCGTGACTTCATCAGGGTCACGACGCACGTGACGCAACGCGTCGGAACGCCATTCCCAGCACGATATTACGTCACTTCCGGTCACGTGGGGACGTTTTTGTCCGGACGCAGCGGCCATATTGGTTTCCCTCCCTGCATGAGAATACACCCATGATGTGAGGTGAAAAAGCGCTGTATCCAAAGTTACCATGTGAGTTGGAAAGTTTGTTATGCCATATTATTTACAATAAACGGTGTTATACTATATGGGAAGTTTCTGTTTGTGCCCTATATGACGTGGTGAGAGGAGGTGGAGTGGAAGTCCTGAGGTTCCTGCCTGAGTTGCCTGGAGGAAAGGATTGCCTTTAAGGAGAGCCTTTTTGCCTTTTGGCCCTGTGTGGGTCGAGGAGGGGAGGTGAGCAGGCATTTCTGCCGTTGGAGGATTCCTTTCTTGAGCACTAGAAGTGAAGATCACAGAGTGTTTCACATTTTTTTGCATGGATTATTTGAGTTTTTTTTGAAACACTGAGTTTATTTATTTATTTAAAAATTTTTTTTTTTTTTTTTTTTTTTTTTTTTTTGATCTAAGAAGCAATTTTTTCTAATTTGTTATAGGGTTCACCACAGACATATGTATTTACTTATCGCAGTATCACTATATTTCTTTTTTGATATTCAGTTGTGTCACAAGTATCACGATTTGTCACATTTTTATGAATCAGCAGTATTATGTCAATTGGTTTTATCACTGTTATTTGGGTATATATTATGAATTGTATATTTTGGTATTTTTATCACAGATCTATTTTGAGTTAATAGTATATGGGTATTTATTAGAAGTGTTTATGTAATTCTTCACTTATTGAATAATTTTTTAGATAATTTGGGAGCGCTTCACTATTTTAATGCACGGTATTTTTTTGACTTGTTGGTTGAGTTTGAGTGTGCAGCTAGTAGATAGGGACCTACCCATATTAAGCGCAGGAGGATATCCCCCCTTATAGACAGCAATAAAAAAACATGCCAAGGGATCTTAAACTGAAAAAAAAGGTTTTGCCTAGAGATACATGGCTTCAATGTTTCTGTTGTAAACTTTGAGGATGAATAGCTCTACAATGCCTGCAACTACAGAGGGCAGTGAGAGTTTGTATGAAAGATAATGTACTGCTTCCTTGAATATTCAAATACCTAAATATTCACAGTCCAACCATGAGTTCACTTTAAGGTAGGGTAACCACTTGCAGACTGCCCCATTGTAAAAATACTGTGGCAGTACATGTATGTGATTCGGCACAGAATAGCCACACTGCCTCTGTATTTTTACAATGGGGCAGTCCGCAAGTGGCTATACTATCTTAAAGGGAGCCCGTGACTGGACTGTGAAGATTTAGGTATTTGAATATTCATGGACATGATTCGGCATTTCTGGTTTGGAATGCCCGCTGCCAGCTCTGTCCTGTCATTCTGTACAGCACTAGTCAATCAGCAGGTCCCAGCCAATGATTTATTGCTGGGACCTGCTAAATGGCTTAGTGAATCACAGTACAAAAGCCCTGTGTGTACTAAGAACAAAGGGCTCTGTACACGTAGCAGGGATGTTGCTGTTATATTCTCCTTGCAATGAACAAAGAAAAAACAATCACATCTCTTATTAAAAGCAGCACAGATTACATGCATTAATAAATAAACATTCCAGTGTACCATAGTTTGTAGATGTTGTAACTTTCACGCAAACCAATCAATATACACTTACTCGATATATACTTAATGACATTATAGCATAAATTTGTGAAGAAATGTATTATGTTTCTATTCTTTATTGGATATGTTTTATAGCAGAAAGGAAATTTTTTTTTTTCTTTTTTTTTTAAGTTTGTTTTCTTTGTTTATTTAATACAAAATAAAAGACCCAGTGGTGATCAAATACCACCAAAAATTCTCTATTTGTGTGAAAAAAATTATATAAATTTCGGTTGGGTACAGCTTTGCATGACCGCGCAATCGCCAGTTAAATTAGAGCAGTGCTGCATAGCAAAAAATGACCTGGTCATAAATGAGGTGAAATCTTCCGGAGCTGAAGTGCATAAGGCAAAGATATACAACAGAAGTGTTGTATGAAAATTGCTTACGTTTTTTAAATATACTTTATTTATTTTTGGGCACCCAAAGGCTGTTTGGCATTGTTTGAGTTAACAAAAATGCCAATATCTGCATTACAGCCTGCCAAGCCCTTTGTAATCCTCCTCTGGAGAGCAACATTAGATTTATGGGGAAGAGCTGTCTTGTTGGTTATTATGATGGGTTATGAGAATTCTAGTAAAGGACGGCTTTAAAACCTAAGTGATTCAATATTTCCTGTCAGCTTCTAGATTCCAACCAATATTTCCGTTATCTGTCCTTTCACACACTGTAAATAAAGTGCTTTCCGGGGAACTGGCTTGTTTTCTGTGTAATAAAGCCCAAGACTAAGCGTGATTTATTGCTCATTTGTGCCCACGTATAATGGGCGATTCCAGACCCAAAAGACAGGCTTAAGCAATGCATAGTTCTGTGTTTTCTGAAACTCAGTCCTCTAATGTCAGCTGTTTGTAAATTACATGGCCCACCCCGCCAACCAACCCATTCACTGTACAAAGTGTTGACCTTTAATGTCCGCAGTGCACAGAATATTAACTGATCTTGCCATGTTAGAAGTATACACAATATAAATATACATTTATGGATTTAACCTTTAAAGGGAGCCTGTAGATGATGACCATTGCCTGGCACAGCGTTATGCTCTGGAAAAAGCTCTGCCTTTAAGTGTCAAGTGATTTCAGCCTCCAACCACTATAAAAAAAAAATATATATATATTATATATATTATATTGCCAAAAGTATTGGACGCCTACCTTTACCCATAAACTTTAATAGCATCACAGTCTTAGTCTGCAGGGTTCAATATTAAGTTGGCCCACCCTTGGCAGTAATAACAGCTTCAGCTCCTCTGGGAAGGCTGTCCACAAGGTTTAGAAATGTGTCTATGGGGATGTTTGACCAATCTTCCAGAAGTGCATTTGTACGGTCAGGCATTGATGTCGGACTAGAAGGCTTGGCTCGTAGTCTTCGCTCTAATTCGTCCCAAAGGTGTTCTATCGGGTTGACGTGAGGACTCTGTGCAAGCTGGTCAAGTTCCTCCACCCCAAACTCACTTATTATTGTCTTTATGGGCCTCACTTCGTCCACTGGTGCACAGTCATGTTGGTACAGGAAGGGGCTATCCCCAAACTGTTCCCACAATATTGGAAGCATGAAATTGTCCATAATGTCTTGGTATGCTGACATCTTAAGAGTTCTGTTCACTGGAACTAAAGGGCCAAGCCCAACCCTTGAAAAACAACCCCATACCATAATCCCCCCTCCACCAAACTTTACACTTGGCACAATGCAGTCAGGAAGTACTGTTCCCCTGGCAGCCGCCAAACCCAGACATGTTAATCGGATTGCCAGACAGAGAAGCGTGATTCGTCACTCCAGAGAACACATCTCCACTGCTCTAGAGTCCAGTGGTGGCATGCTTTACACCACCGCATCCGACGCTTTGCATTTCACTTGGTGATATAAGGCTTGGATGCAGCTGCTCGGTCATGGAAACCCATTCCATGAAGCTCTCTATGCACTGTTGTTGTGCTAATCTGAAGGCCACATGAAGTTTGGAGGTCTTTAGCTATTGACTAAGCAGACAGTTGGTGACCCACTCTGTCATTTTACATGGCCTACCATTACGTGGCTGAGTTGCTATTGTTCCCAGTTGCTTCCACTTTGTTATAATACCACTAACAGTTGAGCATGGAATATTTAGTAGCAAGGAAATTTCATGGATGGACTTTTTGCACAGGTGGCAACCTATTACGGTACCACGCTTGAATTCACCGAGCTCCTGAGAGCGACCAATTCTTTTGCAAATGTTTGTAGAAGAAGTCTGTGTGTAGGTGCTCTTTTATGCCTAGCAAAAAATAGCAGTATGACAGATGCAATACTGCTTGAACAAAAGTGGTTACTTCAAAATCCAAGCGGAGTAGTATTGTTATACAAAAAGCTTTATTCGATCACATGGATCATATAGAGGTTAGACATGGATATGGTAAACAAGTAATAATAAAATCACTTAAAAACATTTGGCGTCTCCAAATAAAGTAGTTGTTCGGCAGTTTGAGGATCCACATAAGGCAATAGAGTTCCTAACCACTAGATCAAAGAATTTTCCATATTTTCCATAGAAAATCAGCATAGGGAGATCATTCTTCAGAAACCATTATGGTAATAATCACAATAAGTAGAGTGACTTCCTAAAATGGAAAAACCAAAAAGAAAATCATAGTAGGTGGAACTACAGTAGGGTAAATATACTGGGCGAATAAATCAGCCCAGCAAACACAGAACTAGTGTATATTTTAAATCATTACCTTCTCAAAAGCTTGACCATCATTGAAGGATGGATATATGGCCTTCCTGGGTAACCACCCCAGATGAAAGTGTATCCACATTAATAGATGACTCTAAAAAGGTGTATAAATGTGAAACATCAATGACAAAAAGCATATAACTGAATAAAAATAAATAGAGGTAAAAAACTAAATATTACCATATAGAAGATCAAGAGGACCTAAACCACTTGAAGTACGATCAGGTCTTGATGAAAAAAAGTTCATAAATCCACACTAATTATGAGTGAGACGGAGATATTTAATATGACATATTTTTAGGTGTCATATCAGGTGGCTCTTTTTCGTTTGGTTGCTCGATTTTATGCACCTGTGGCCATGGGAAGTGGATGGAACACCTGAATCCAATGATTTGGAGGGGTGTCCCAATCCTTTTGGCAATAATATATATATAGTATGTATACAGTGAGATAGATAGATAGATAGATAGATAGATAGATAGATAGATAGATAGATAGATAGATAGATAGATTTTGCCAAAAGAAGGTGTATGAGAGCACTTGTGAGCTGGATCAGTACAACTGTGGGCTGCTTTATCACGTGGGCAATGGGCTCCCACCACTTCTAGATCAGCCATATAAGAGTAAAGCATTATAGCCCTATGTACCTTGTAGTTACACTTACTTACATAATATGAACATGGGTCATTCTCCCTTACATATGAGGTTTTATCTTCGGCCAGTCTAAAAATTACAGACAGTGCTCATCCACCTTCTCATAGTGTCACTCCACCCGCTCCAAAAGTGAGAACTACTGGGTTTAGTACACACTTGTAGACCCAGAGTAAATAGGGGTGCTTGGCGGGGGTCAGCACTGCCTGCTAAGTGTCTGAAGATCAACCCAAAGTACCACAATGTGAATGATCCTTTCAAGCAGAGCTTCACCCAGAGCTTATATTGCAGTTTTAGGTGGGACTGGGCAGGGTTTTCAGTACCCTTTTGATATTTATTGCATTGAATGGCTTTGTTACCAGCCTTCTTTCACCCTCCTACTAATGGCAGGACAACTGGAGTTTGGTTGAAAACCTGGAAATCATGTAATCCGGTATCCCAACCTTGGTTTGGATGGTGTTGCAGTGACTGTCCAACAGATATTCCTGTGTTAAAGACAGTCATCAAAAAACGCGAAGTGTCACAGCACACCAGTATGAGCAAAAAAGGAATCCTTTTGTGTCATAACATCAAAGTGTCCTCCTAGTATAGAGGCTCTCAAAATTTATAGAGTTAGGACTGCAGTACACTAGGGTGCCATGAAGTGGTCCTGTAGCTTACTCATATACTTACAAATGTGTGCAAACTATATCAAACAAATGAAGAATTACCCCCTTGGGATGTTAAAGCAGCTAAAATATACCACAGATACTTTGATATTAAAAAAATAAACCTTATCAAATACTGCAACACAGAAACTCTTAAAATCATCACATATATGCTAAACCCTTATAATACCTCTGATAGGATTATTGAACATAATCCTCCATATAGGAACAGCCACATCCCTAGTTGGCGGTGTGGGCTGGACTTCATTCCCCTCTCATTGGGTAATTTATATACATGTTAATATTAATTGTGCAAGGTTTGGTTTGGTTTGGGTCATTCTATTCCTGGCTGCCAGTGGTGGAGGTTCCTAGGTTATTGAAAGTCTGTATTCTGGTGAGCATATATGTTACAAGGGAGAACTTCTTCCATTTATTTTTTCACCTTATGTGTTCTTGTTCTGTATTTTGCAGATAGTAAGCCCTTGAATATAACTATTTATATATTTTTCATTGTCAGGTGGACTCCAAGGGGCATATACAGATTAAAGTTAAGGGAGAGTCTAAGACCTTACACCTAACCATATCACCATACTGCTAAGTAATTGCCATATAATTTTTGCATAGAGTTTGAGAAAATGCTTTGCCTGACTAGGTTTATTGAGTGTGTTAATGTTTTGATATTTATTGGTCCCCATTATACTGTACATTGAGTTCATGATGTGGAATTTTCAAGAGTTGAACCAGATATGGTCCCCTGATTGTGAATATGGAGAGAAGATAGTGTCCTTCTGTTTCAAACAAAACCCCCTTCCTCTGAGATTTTGAGTACTATGGTCATTATATATTTTATTATGGATGGTCAGTTGGAACAATACTTTAATATTTTTGTTACATATATATTTCTTAATTGTCTGATACATCTCTTTTTCTTCCTGCTATTGCATTGGTAGGCTGACCTTTCTTATTGGACCTTTAGGGGTTTCTTTAAGAGGAATAATGTGTTTTTCATCTTCTACTGTCCCTTGAATATTACGGTTAGTGTATAATTTATCATGGACATCCAGGAACGGTACCACCCTTATCATATTCAATTTATGCTGATTATAGGTACAGTATTTATATTATTTTTTAGTTGCTTGAAATTTCTTGCCCTCCTTTTTTCCCTTTCTTTATGGAATATATGGAGTCTGGCTGTTTCCTTCCCTCACTGCCAACTTCTTGGGTTGTCCATGTGACCATCTGTGTAGCTTCAAATGATGATGCCCCACTCAAGCGAATCCAAGATTCCATGATGAATATTATTGTTTTTAAGATGCTCTGACTGGCTAATGACTTCCAAACCTTTGTCTTGTAAGTATAATACGGGAAGATATGTTGTTATTACCAATTGTAATGAAGCATGAATTTTCATTGTATGTAATACTAATATATTATGTATCCATTTAGAAATCTCCCTTCTTTTTGCCATCTGAAGAGAATCGGGAATGAAGGAAACGCGCAGGGTTTATATGTATTTCAATGACATCTGTTGACCAATTACTTTTGGTCCCTTGAAAAAGGGGGGTGGCTACTCTTAAGAACTGTAATTAGTAAACCCTTCCTCCAATTTGGATGTACATACCCTCAAATTAAACCTGAGAGTTTGCACTTTCAGCACATATCCATCATATAACTATAGCTTGAATATGTTTTGGTAAATACCTGAAATAACTAAAATGTGTCCTGTGTCCAAATAAATATGGACATAACTGTATATACAGTATATATATATATATACACCCCTCACATTTTTGTAAATATTTTTATATATGTTTTCATGTGACAACACTGAAGAAATTATGCTTTGCTACAATGTAAAGTAGTGAGTGTACAGCTTGTATAACAGTGTAAATTTGCTGTCCCCTCAAAATAACTCAACACACAGCCATTAATGTTTAAACCGCTGGCAACAAAAGTGAGTTCATCCCTAAGTGAAAATGTCCAAATTGGGCTCTAAGTGTCAACATTTTGTGTGGAAACTATTATTTTCCAGCACTGCCTTAACCCTCTTGTGCATGGAGTTCACCAGAGCTTCACAGGTTGCTATTGGAGTCCTCTTCTATTCCTTCATGAGGACATCACGGAGCTGGTGGATGTTAGAGACCTTGCGCTCCTCCACCTTCCATTTGAGGATGCCCCACACATGCTCAATAGGGTTTAGGTCTGGAGACATGCTTGGCCAGTCCATCACCTTTACCCTCAGCTTCTTTAGCAAGGCAGTGGTCATCTTGGAAGTGTGTTTTGGGTCGTTATCATGTTGGAATACTGCCCTGCGGCCCAGTCTCTGAAGGGAGGGGATCATGCTCTGCTTCAGTATGTCACAGTACATGTTGGCATTCATGGTTCCCTCAATGAACTGTAGCTCCCCAGTGCCAGCAGCATTCATGCAGCCCCAGACCATGACACTCCCACCACCATGCTTGACTGTAGGCAAGAGACACTTCTCTTTGTACTCCTCACCTGGTTGCCACCACACACACGCTTGACACCATCTGAACCAAAAAAGTTTTTCTTGGTCTCATCAGACCACAGGACATAGTTCCAGTAATCCATGTCCTTAGTCTGCTTGTCTTCAGCAAACAGTTTGCGGGCTTTCTTGTGCATCATCTTTAGAAGAAGCTTCCTTTTGGGACTACAGCCATGCAGACCAATTTGATGCAGTGTGCGGCGTATGGTCTGAACACTGACAGGCTAACCCCCCCACCCCTTCAACCTCTGCAGCAATGCTGGCAGCACTCATATGTCAACCATGGCGAGGCCTGTTCTGAGTGGAACCTGTCCTGTTAAACCAATGTATGATCTTGGCCACCGTGCTGCAGCTCAGTTTCAGGGTCTTGTCAATCTTCTTATAGCCTAGGCCATCTTTATGTAGAGCAACAATTCTTTTTTTCAGATCCTCAGGGAGTTCTTTGCTACGAGGTGCCATGTTGAACTTCCAGTGACCAGTATTTCACACCTGGGACCTTGTAGCACTAACGAGTCACATGACACCATGGAGGGAAAATGGCTATTTGGGCCCAATTTGGACAATTTCACTTAGGGATGTACTCACTTTAGTTGCCAGCAGTTTAGACAACTTTGTGATTCATCAGACCAGGCCATCTTCTTCCTTTGCTCTGTGGTCTAGTTCTGACGCTTAGCATGGGTACCAACAGGTCTGTGGCCATGCAGCCCTATATGCAACAAACTGCAATGATCTACTGGGAATTTCATGCACGACCATCTCTAGGGTTTACAGAGAATGGTCCAAAAAAGAGAAAATATCCAGTGAGTGGCAGTTGTGTGAACTCAAATACCTGGTGGATGTCAAAGGTAAGAGAAGAATGGACAGACTGGTTTGAGACGATAGAAAGGCAACAGTATGATAATATGGACCAAAATCTCTGAGGAATGTTTCCAACACCTTGTTGAATCTATGCCACAAAGAATTGAGGCAGTTCTGAATGCAAAAGGGGGACCAACCCGGTACTAGTACGATGTACCTAATAAAGTGGCCAGTGAGTGTATATATACATACAGTAGACCAGAATCCATTTCATTTCAAGAATTAGTTTAGTGGATGTCTTAGGTGGAGTCATAGACAAAAAAAAACCAAGGAAGCAATTGAACTCTGCATCCTTCACCTACAACAAAAAAAGCCTTTTAGTTACAGTTACAGAAGTCCTGAATGTTGAAATCCCACAAAAACATTTACACCTGTACCAAGAATCCATTGAGTTTCTAGATGGGTTAAAAATGTTGATACATTTTTATCCATGTCACACAAGCATTAAGCATCATAATATTGTTGTAATCCTTCCTTTTACAAGAGTGTGTCGTAACGTGAACCAGTGATAATTAGCTGCGGAATTTTCCTCCTGTAAACCGTACATATTTTTATGTTAATTTCAATGAATTTTTTCCCCCGACTCCAAGAATCTTCAAAGCAAGGATTAGAGTGTGCTGGAGGCATGATCCTGCTGTAGCAAGGATGGATTTGCTGAGTCTATCTAAAGCTGCAGTATTTTCTTGCTTAGCTGATACATATAGCATAATCATATTATGCATAATGGAGCATGAATGGAACACGGCCAAAGCGTTATCGTGCCCATATATTTCCTGCACAATCCCGAAGTCGCC